ACTGGGACTTTTCAGTTTAGAAAAGAGGAGACTGAGGGGGGATATGATAGAGGTCTAAAAAATCATGAGTGGTGTGGAAAGGGCGGATAAAGAAAAGTTATTTATTAGTTCTCATAATAGAAGAACTAGAGGACACCAAATGAAATTAATGGGTAGCAGGTTTAAAACTAATAAAAGAAAGTTCTTCTTCACACAGCGTGTAGTCAATCTGTGGCGCTCCTTGCCAGAGAAGGCTGTGAAGGCTAGGACTATAACAGAGTTTAAAGAGAATCTAGATAATTTCATGGAGGTTAGGTCCATCAAAGGCTATTAGAAATGGTGTCCCTGGCCTCTGTTCGTCAGAGGCTGGAGAAGGATGGCAGGAGACAAATCGCTTGATCATTGTCTTCGGTCCACCCTCTCTGGGGCACCTGGTGCTGGCCACTGTTGGCAGACAGGCTACTAGGCTAGATGGACCTTTGGTCTGACCCAGTAAAGCCATTCTTATGTTCTGTTATAATATCTGAATGTATGTTTTTCTTAAACACTTGTAGAAAGTTCTAACACTATGTGATTAAAATCAGTATTAATAACACAAGGCCCAATTATTCCCTATTATTAGCATACAGTCTATTTGTATTCTTATAGTACGCAAATAAGGGTATGTCTACACTGCAGAGGTTTTTTTTGGGAAAACGGCTATTTTTCCAAAAAACACTTCACTTACATCCACACTGCAATTGCGTTCTTTCAACAAAAAGCTGAAAGAACGGAGGGGTTTTTCCAACAGCGGTAAACAGAAAGAAGCCTGCAGTCTAGACGTAAGCTAAGACTAAACCATCGTTGGACTTAGCATTGCCAGAGACCTAATACTTTAGATAGAGAAGACAGACAAAAGGTAGGAAAAAGCCATGTTGCTGACATGGAATGAAGTCCAGAGAGAATAAAGTGAATGGCTGAAAGCCACCCAGGAGGTAAGTGGCAGAGTTGGGAGCTGATCACATATCCTCTGATCCCCAGTGTTAACTCACAAACCATTTTTATTCCCTGTGGTTTTCAACATGAAGGAAGCTTGATCCTTGGACTGCTTGTGCAGAGCGAGAGGATTAATTGTTTCACTGGCATCATTCCCATTTAGCTGAAACAGTGTTGAGGATATGCTGCTGGTAGAATGATTGGCTGACAGCATCAGGGAATGGGCTTGATGGTGGGGGTCCCAGAGGTGTTGGTGGCTAGGGGAAACCAAATGAGTTGTGCAGTCAGGCAGCCCAAAGGGAATGTACGGGGGAAGTGTCTCTGGACTACCCTGGCCTTAAGTGATCACCCTGCCTATAAATTTGCTAATTAAGGGGCTGTGAGCAATATCCCATCTATTATGACAGCATCATTTTTGGAAAATTCAATAGAACTTCCCAGAGGTTTCCTTTATCCAAGCCCCTCCCGCTAGGAAAGAGTAAATAGTCCTATCTGGGAGAGGGCTAAAGGGGATGTTCTCTGTCTTTCTATTGCTATTGCATCCATAAAACCTTAAATGCCACTGAACATTTTGACATTATTTCTGGCAATTCTACTTTGTACTTTGTTGCTAAATTAAAACCCTTTTTTCAAAAATAAATCAATATTTTCTTTCTACAGGGAGTACTTACTTTTGGCTTCCATAAAGATTTTCATGGACTCCCGAATCACTATAACCTTGTTCTTGAATATCAGTGGCATAGTTAGATGGATAAAAGTCTGATTCAGATTGCTCAAAGTTTGACATTCTGGAAAAAAAATATTTATAAGACTAATGAATTAATATCCATTAAAGTAAATACCTATTTTTTTAGAAGGACTAAATTGAAATAACAAATGGTAAAGTCTAGAGCACCAAACTTAGAGATGTAGTTTCTCTGGGTAAGCTAGCATTAATTTGAAGTGACAGAAATAAATTGAATTTGAGCTCACTTTTGGTATCACCACAGAAATAATTTCTTGCCTGCCAGCTCTCATGTGTGTTAGTGAGTATTACTTTAAAAACATATGGAGATGAAAACAATTGCTAATGCTGAAGAAATCTAACATGACTGTCTGCCTGACAGTATTATCTAAAGTAACTCAGTAATTAGTCAACTTCATAGTCAGCATCTCAGTAAACATTGGTTGAAAGGGGTTCATTTTCCTATTTAAAACAAAATGATGGCCATGCCTGAGACTTTAATAGTAAGATGAGCTATTGTTTTTTTTAAAAAAAATCAGTGGTTTGGGAATGGAAGACAATGGCTCATTGACTTATGGCCAGAAGGGATCATCATGATAATCTAGTTCAAGGGATCTCAAAGTGCCACCTGCGGATTGAGGCTCAGAGTCCTCCCACCTTGTAGCAGGGAGCCCGCACTAGCGCTTCAGCACCATGGCCCTCCTCTACAAGGTTGGAGTACCCGAACTGACTTCCTGCTATGGGGTATGGGGATGGGGAGGAGCCCTGACCCTTACGGGCCAGATGCAGTTTTCAGGGCAAACAAGTGGTTCCATATGCTGCCGTTCCTCCCAACCTGTACCCTCCCTCGCACACAAACCCCCAGAAGAGGCAGACCTGAGGGCAGTCATGAAAGAAGCTGGAGTTCCTAGAATGAGAGGGCTGACAGGACGGGAGGACAATGACAGAGACACCACCAGAGAAGGCATCAGCAGCTGGAAGAGATAATCCCAAGAATCGCCAGGAGGAGGCACCACTAGCACTGAATGGACCCATGGAATGGGGCCATGTCATATTTGTTCTGTAAATTGTCTTTCATGTTTATGGCATTATGGAAATTAAATACAATATTCTACACACTGCTCATGTCTTGAATTAGTAAGTCGGTAGCATTCTCAAATTTGACTGAGGTGCTTCCTCGCTCTATTTACAAGTAATGATGGTCCCACATACTGGTTCCAAACCTTCCACTCCTAGTCACATATGTAATCCCATCTTCTTTATTGGGCCCACTACAAGATTAAGGACTGAGTCCTTTATGTACAATTAGAATGAATATGCTGTTACCCAATGACTGGCAACTACATTCGCCCTTGTGCAGCTTCCTGAAATCTTGCAGTTCTTACTCAGAACTGCATTAGTTCTGCTGCATCCAGGGACTTAGGCAACGCAGAGCCAGTAAGTGAACCGAATTTTCTTCAAATGTGTAGATGAATGTACTAATTTGGCTAGCAGTCTAGAAAATGCCAGCATTTACGGAGTTAAACTCTTTCAGAATATTTATAGAAGTTAAGCAGTTTGAGTCATAACCATGACCATGTCTAATTTGTTTGACTTCATACTGGCTTTTAATGTTTGATTTAGATTCTGTATTATTTCTGCACTCTTCACTTTGTACTGCTTTCTTCTGCCATCCTGCAATCCTGATTCAAAAATTTTCAACTAAATTACAATTGCTCCCTAGGCTTTACATATATCAAGCACATCCTGTTCACAGAAAAGCACTTTACCTAAACATCTTAATAAAATTAAAATTTAAAATATTGTTTTATGCATATGGCATATTCAAAAGTTTCATATTACATCCCATAATCAGACTACTCTACAAGAACCTGATTCCTTCGTTTATCAGAATCATTTAAAGTAACAATCACACCAGTCTTTTCTTAACACAAAACAAATCACACAATAAAATTGATTTTATGTTTTGTAATTTGAGTACTACATATTTATTAGAAATTTGACACTAGCTCTGAGTTATGCTCAATAAAAATTAGAAGCTCAAATGTAACATATCTTATTAAAATTTAGAATATTTAAATTAAATGTTCTTTCTAGCACATCTTATGCACTGAGATTCTTTTCACATTCCTCTGAAGTATAAAATAACTTCACAAGCCATTATTTTTCATAGTATACTAAAATGTGTGTATTACACAAGGTGTAAACTCAATTTCTGAAACAGTTTGAAGCTAAATGTAGGCTACATACCTCTTAATATATTAAGTAAAAAATCCTCTTGTACACTGAACTTACATGTTGGAAAAACAACTATGATATCCTATTGCATTAACAGATGATCTTGTGCTATTTATAATGTTCTAAATTTATCCTTTGGGCAAATGCAAATGACTGAAAAGAACCTGTCAGTATCATGGACAACATTTAATACCACATGCAAGGGTTCACTAACAGGAATACTTAGCAGAAAAGATCAGCAATCACTGAATAAAAAACGTTCTAGGCTTTTAAAATACAATTTCAACCTAAACTATAAAATATTCAGGATAAAGGTTCTGTTTTTTTACTACACGATTATATAAAATTCAGTAAAATGAAGTTCTCAACCAAGCCTCCAGGTGCTACTGTAATAGTTATAATAAATAGCATGCATATAACTTTCATAAATGCTGAATAAATGAATATACATGGATGTGTGTTCTGACTGCTGAGTGCCACAAAACTTCTAGTATGGTAAGGATTTAAAAATAGGATACTTCAGCAATTCCCACATATAACTCTTGAATGGCATGCATTTTAGGATCAGATACTTAACCAGTCTTAACAGTCTCTGTCTTTCTTGAACCATTTACCTGATTGTGTCTTGAAGAGCACTTGGCCTGATTAGAGAATGGGACATTAAATGAGATGTATTACTGGGTCATTAATCCATGCCTCAGGTGCATTTCAAACTATTCAAGGCTAAAGGCCAGCTTACTTCAATTCCACAAGAGGTGTATTAATGGTCCATTAATATGTGCCCTACAGTGCTTTAAAACTAGCATATTTATATAGGTGCCATTTCATTTTTTTAAAAGAAAAATATGGTCATATTAAACTTTCACTGCATATATGCCTACAGAAAAAAATAGTTGAGAGGTGAAGGTTAGGAGAAAGTAAGAGAAAAATATAATATCAGTTTCAGCTCATTAAAAATGGTTTCAAAAGTAATTTAAATTTTAATAATTATGAGGGTTTTTATTCAGGGCTTGTCTACATTGTCTCAGAGTTCAGCTTGTAGGAGAGTGAATAGCAGTGCGCACCAAAGTACAGTCCTGTAAGTGCACTGCGTGGATGCTACAGATGTGATCTAAAAGATTCCTAGTTTAAGTAATCCTTAAACAAGGAACTCACAAGTAACTGTGAGTGAATAAGGATCCTTTTAATTTTTGCCTCCACCATCCACGTGAGGGAGTTACAGCACAGGGCAATTCACACTCCCAGGCTATTTCACACTCCCAGGGCAATTCACACTCCCAGGCAATTCACACTCACACTACAAGATTTTGGCGCAAAACCTGGCAGAGTGTCCACAACACAAGTGCGTTTTTGCGTAAGAAAATCGACAGAACAGAGGGTTTTTGAGAGTAGAATTATTCCTCTCCCCACAAGGAATAATGCCTTTTTGTGCTACAGCTTTTGCGCAAAAAGGCAGGCATGAACGCTGGTGGGGGTTTTGCGCAAGAAACCCCTATTGCAATGTTTCTTAAACTGACTCCGAGGCAGTCAGAGGTGTGCCACGGAGACCAACAGAGTTCAAAATGACCTCCCTTACAGGGACAGACGACCTTTTTTTCTTCTTCTCGATAACTTTTCCCTGACCCATTTTTTTTGTCAATAACCTCCCCCCCCCCCTTTTTTTCCTCAACAAAAAATCCTTGGTGTTCCTCATAAAAAAAATTAGTGTTTGGTATTCCTCGGTCCTAAAAACTTTAAGAAATACTGCCTTATTGGAAAAAGCACAGGTGCTCTGATGACCATTCTGTGAATGGCCATCAGAACTTTCTTGCACAAGAGTGTCCATGCAGTGTGGATGCTGTCTTGTGCAAAAGCACATCGCTTTTGCAATGTGCTTTGAGGTCTGGATACTTTTTTGTACAAGAAGCTTTTGCGCAAGAACTCTTCCACAAAAGGCTTCTTGTGCAAAAACCCTTCAGTGTAGACAAAGCCACATAGTCTGAACTGTGGAGCAGTGTAGGCATTGCCTTTCTGGACGTCCCTTTTGTGCTGCTCAGCTCCTTTTCTGCCCTTGGTGCACGAATAGCATTCACTAGAGCTTCAACTGGCAGCAAAGTGTCTTTTCAGTTTCAGAGCAAAACAGTAAAAATACAGAGCAAAACAGTAAAAAAATGAATAGGAATGCTCCAAACTTTGGTAGCATGGACTTGACTCTTTTAATATCTAGTTATTTTAAGAAAATGTGTTGTGATCTATTTTGTTAAACAGTTCTTTATCATCATCTGTTAGGGCTGCAGCAATGCTCCCAAAATGAGCTGTTTTCCAAAGACAGTGACAGATAATGCAATCTAACCAACATTTGTTATTGTCTGCTTGTAGGAAAGTCACCAATCATAGGTCAACAATCATAATCTTAACACAATTGAGTGAAGGAAATCTTTGCTTAAACTTTCTCTGGAAAAAAAAAATCCAACAACAGTGTTACAAGAATCAAACTGCTCTAGACAGACAGGATCCTTCAAGTCATCCCTTTGAAATATCTCTAATATTTATATTTCCCTCTTTAGAATGTTCAAAAGCATTTCCTTTACTTGCAACTCATATCTTGGATTATCAGCAGTATGAGATTATAATTGCCTGCCACTCTACCATTGGATAAATCTAGCTGTGTAACACAATTTACTCAAGAGGAAAGCAATTAAAATAAGGATTAATGACCTTGACCTGATCTGTGCCCGAAGGGAATTAAATGGAAATAGCAGGGAACATGGATTTTATTCCTTCACACATGGATCATATGCACTCATAGATTACTGATTTGATCGTCCCAAATGTCCCACACAATGTGACCCCATTTACAAGCAACAAAATGAAAATTTCTGACCATATCGTAATTTATTTATCATTTGTGTTTCCATTTCAAACACAGAGGGACTAAAGAAAAGAATAACAATACTTTCCTCTTCCAATAACTTTGGCTGGTGAATTACTTGAAAGTTGTATTTAATCATTAGGTATAGTGACTATATTATAGAAACCAACGTTCAGTTGTCATAAATTTCAGACACTGTTTAGTTAATTTATGTTTTTCTCTCAATACATAGAAGGGGTACACAGAGAGAGAGGAATAATATAATTTGAAGAGCAAAGCTATTGGGACCAACATGCAAAAATGTTGCTGACAAGTTTCTGCACCAGAGTTGTAGGATTGATAGGGTACTACTAAATGCATACATATGCAGTCACCAAGCATGGCTATTGATAAACAAACTACCATTAACCAGTCCAATGATCATACACTTCCATATCAAAAGTGACTGGCCTCTTGCCTTTGGCTACTCCATATGAACATGTCTCAGTTCGTTTGTCCTTTTCCTTCACTGCTACCAACTCAAAGTTAGCTATTCCTCAAGGATCAGGATCAATTGCAGCCAGACAACACCACCTGTGAGATTCATGACTTTGTAATATTCCCCATCTTTTTCTTTATGACATCATTTATCTTGTATCTCATTGATTATTAGAAGCCCTTCCTGTAGCATTGACAGCAAGTGAACGAACTCCCTATATTGCTCTTTTCACATATTGTGTGCCACCAGACCTATTCAGAAAAGAATATTCATTTTATTTATCTCCTTCACCATGAAGATGTTGCACTCATAACTAAAACTGAGATTTCTACACTTCCCCGTCTCTGAATTCTTTTCAGTTTGATGGAACACAACTGGTAGAGAACCATTCTGGATTGTTCTTGAATTCCTGCAGGGAGAGTATTGTGCAACAATGGATTCTCTGAGAGGCCAAATGTATGCAGAGCCCTGGATGCTTGCTCCATATGCTCTTTCACTTACTGGGTGTGTCTAAACTACATGCCTCCGTCGACGGAGGCATGTAGATTAGCCAGATCGGCAGAGGGAAATGAAGCCGCGATTAAAATAATCACGGCTTCATTTAAATTTAAATGGCTGCCCCGCTCTGCTGATCAGCTGTTTGTTGGCAGATCGGGGCAGTCTGGACGCGACGCGCCGACAAAGAAGCCTTTCTTGATCGGCACAGGTATGCCTCGTGAAACCAGGTTTACCTGTGCCGATCAAGAAAGGCTTCTTTGTCGGCGCGTCGCGTCCAGACTGCCCTGATCTGCCGACAAACAGCTGATCGGCAGAGCGGGGCAGCATTTAAATTTAAATGAAGCCGCGATTATTTTAATCGCGGCTTCATTTCCCTCTGCCGATCTGGCTAATCTACATGCCTCCGTTGACGGAGGCATGTAGTTTAGACGTACCCACTATGACCTGACACGTATAGGTGCTGCAAAGCTGTGGGATCTAAGCAGAGTTTGCAACAGCAGCATGCAATGTGTTTACATCTTTCACTAGGAAATTGCATCATTGTTTCACAGCTAAAGACATTGTCATACAAACTTTTATGTACAGCTTATGACAGTGATTCTCAACCTTTCAAGACTACGATACTCCTTTCAGGAGTTCAATGTGTCTTGCATACCTCCAGGTTATACCTCTCTCAAAAAGTTCTTGCTTATAAAATTACACATACAAAAGAGTCACAGTGCACTATTACTAAAAATTGCTTACTTTCTCATGTTTACCATATAATTATACTAGAAGATTTATTTGGCATTGCTTGGGTCCTTAATTCAAATAAGTTTTGTTTTTCTTCATTTCAATCATTGTTCTGGTCTGCTTCCTAAGTGGCAGGACAATGACTATAGAACTTCTTGCCAGTAGATGTCAAATTGATCTCAGGCCTGAATTTGTTTATGACTATGCTACCTTTTAAAGAGAGAATAGTATCTGTTATAGTGTCCAAAGAATAGCACCTAAACACAATATTACTGACCTCCCCTCCCCCAATAATATAAAATCTTACCATTTATACTCACACACTTCGCTATAGTAGAAAGAAGCACATAATATCATTTTCTCCAGAGACTTGTTAATCTTAGATATTGGGAACCATGGTGACAGGCATTTTAGAAATACCTAAAGTAGATAGATCTGTAGATTAAATTAATACAGGATGCATCACAGAGCAGACCTCTGGCATCTTCATGATACAGCTTCAGGCCTTGCA